ATTTGTATTTAGATTATTTCATTCCTACTTATTTTGATGCCTTAAAAGAGAAAAATGGGTAGTGCTATTTTATCAAACCACAAGTCTTGCATCATTTTGTCATGTAAACAGTTGATTTTATTAAGGTTAAATTATATAAATTTAGAGCCTGAAATTTCATAGTGTTGTTTAAATTTTAATAGGTCATTGAATATTAAGATGTGTCTCATAGGTACTTGTATTTTCTATTTTGTTTCTAATAGATCTCATAACTTTAAAAGTGTCGATAGGTTCCTAATCTATCCAACATTTTTAAATTTATGGACCTATTTGATACAAAATTGAAAGTACAGGAACTTAGAAGACACTTTCACAGTTTATGGAGCTATTAGGGACCTATTAGATAGCTTTTCAGTTCCTCTATCTACTATTTCTGTAAATGACCTTCAGGATTGATAACTTGTTAAAAGATAGAATGGCCTTTTGTTTTTCCACCAGGGGAAAGAGAAAAGCACTTGTATTCTCACCAGAACATGTCCAAATGTTATATTGCTTTGGTATAAGGTTATATATTGTCCTGAAACTAATATTGGTGTTGAATCAAACTTGTTTTGTCGGTTTATTTCCTGAGACAGATGGGCAATCCCATTGGGTGTGTTGGCTGGTGTTTTGGTTGTTTACTGGAGGTGTTGTGGAAGAAGAAAATATGGGTCCACCCATTGGCTCTTACCATTGTATAACAATCCCAAAAGTGGTTCACAAAGGCCAAGATCAGACTGACCAATCATAAATCTCTTGCTTTTCTTCGAGCAGTTCACTGCTACTTCTTTTTGATCTTTCTGGCTGGCGAGCTCTTCACCTTTTTGATACACGAAGCGCGCCAAAGCTTCAATTGTAGTTAGGAACGAATTTTAGACAGGTGATTTATATCTCAATCTGTAGTGATAGCATATCAGAAAAAAATGGAGAAGCAAATGTTGTTGTCCGTCGATATAATTTGTAATATGTTTAATATATTGTATTCAATTTTACTCACTGAAAGAAATTCTTTCTTTCTTTTACCTGAAAGGAGAGAGAGATTCTATATTGTATTCAATTATACTCATTGAAATGCCTCCTCTTTTGTACTTGAAAGAAAAAGAAATTCTTTGTATTCTCAAATCTTGAATCTGGCTTTATAATTAAGTTTTTCCAATGTTGCTGGATCTTAAATCATTTTTACTACGATGATGTGACAAATAGTGAATGGAAGAAATATTCATACTAGTACCAGAAATTTTCACCTAATATTTCACATGTTTCTAATTATGCTCCATGGTAACAAATCTTTATCTGCAACCTTGTTTTTGTGGTTTTGGGAGCAGTGGCACCATGACACAAACGAAAATCAAATGACCACTCTAGTACAATAAAGCTCAGTGTGGAACTACCAAACTGATTTTTTCAAAAAAAAAATATTAGCTAGTTAATAAACGAGATCCGAGTCTTAGTACAGAGAAGTGGAGCATGAAATGAATAAATATGTAAGTGTTATATCATTTCTTATTAATCCCTGTAATGCCCACAAGCCCAATGAAAATTCAAGAGCAAAAATTGCTGCAAAAACTAGGCATTTCAGTTCTTCAATTCTTCAATTCTTCTTGTGGTTTGAAGGTGCTGCTGCTGCTGCTGCTGCAGGTGAAGCTTCTGCATCCCAACCTGACATGGAGCCATGCATGGACTGCTTCTGCACATGATCAACATCAGATATATGGTGGGCAGAGGGCAAATCAGTCATTTTGCTTGCCACGTCATTCTGCGAGTTTCCAACAAGTGGAGGGGCTTCCAAATTGTGGTGATGTGGAGGGGTGGTGCTGGCAAATGCAGATACATTTTGGTGGAAGAATTGGGTGTTGGATTGCATAGGCATTTGGCTATTCACAAATGGCATATGGCTCTGAGACATGGCAACAAGCAGTGGATTCACTCCTGTCACTCTCTTCACTGTTTCTTCAGCCATTTTCACCTGAAAATTTTAACTCACAATATTCACAAATATCCTAATGATTTCCCACAAACAAAACGGCAGGCATCATAAATGTAATATTCTCTCTCTATGGAAAAATTTCCTAGTTCTGGAAAATTTGAAAGCAAGAGCAGAACAGATGTGAGAAGTAACCAAGTCAACATCACCGATGTGTTTTCATTTAATAAACTAATCGCTGACATGCTTTAACATCCTTATAAACACAGGCCGTGGAGCAAACATACACATGTAATTGGAATTGACAGTTCATGCAGTTGCAATTTTGACCTCCTATATGCAATTGGAAGTAGCAAGATACCATTGCAATAAGCAGGGGCTTTTTTTGTACGGAAAGGGTGAAAATACTAACAAAAAGAAAACAACTTACCATCTAATAGAAAGGAGATTACACATGTAGCCTCGTAAAAGAAGGAAGCACAAGATTTCTCCTCATTGATTCTTCAACTGAAGAACAATCGAGGAAAGCTTCCTTGATGATGACTGAGGAAAGACAATGAATAAATAAGCAGTCTTTCCTCGGTTGTTTCCTCAATAGTTCATTTATACTTGGCATTTGAATTTTGCCTTCAACTTTTTTGTTTCCTTGGTGGTTCTTTGTCTTTGATTTCGAGGTTTCCTCGATGGTTCTTTAGTGTTTTGAGTGTCTTTCAGTAATTAAAATTATCTCAATTTTAAAACTATACTAGACTTTGTACTTCTTCATACTTATATTTCGTTCTATAATTCTATTCCTAGATTATACACAGATAAAATATGCGAACAAAAAAAAAATTGAGATCAATACCTCTGGACCATGAAGTTTTACAAATAATTTTATTTGATTCCTACATTTCGAAATCTTACGATTTAAATCATGAGATTTCAGAACTGGCTCAAAATAGAGAAACCTTTTTGTTGGCTGTCGAAAGGACAATGGAGAATTTATTTTTTTTCTTATCGGTGCGAGCGTGAAGGATCGAGTGAAAGAGGAGAGAAGATGAGAAATCCTTCTTTCTTTTGCTCACAGAAGATGATAGATACAGGGGTCTTTTTTTTCTGTTGTTCTTGCCGGATAAGAAACAGAGAAGATTTTTTTTGGTTGGTTCGGCAGAGGTTGTGGGAAATTAGAGTGGAGCAGAGGATGATATAGAGAGGGTGAACAGAGAGAGAAAAAATGATCACATAAGCAAATATAAAAATGGCAAACCATTTTTCATTATTGTAGCTAATATAAAACTAATGTTATTTCAGAAACCTCAAGCTTTAAATCGTAAGATATTAAAAATTAGAGGGAAAAAAATTGTGAAACCTGCATAACTAAAAATGCATTTATTAAAAAAACCATTCTGAAATACAACGAGTGGCCAATTCAATCCACTTCACCAAGAACCTTAGCGTATTCCCGAATATTCTACATAGTCCTCATTTATAACTCATGCTCCATTGTCAGTCCAACTCTGCTAGCTCCATGGCATCATCTTCATCTACTGTCAGAAGTCTCAACTTCTCCAACTTCAAGGACTTCTTAACAAATTTGTGGCAAATTCTCCTAATTGGGGCTTTATCTATCTCAACTATAGATAGTTTCTTGAAGGGCTAGTAATGCCCACCTACTGGCATCACCAATGGTGATGCATTGATCCCCATTGAAAAAATGAAGACAGACTTATAGATAGTTTCTTGAAGTTTCCCGCGACGTACCTCGATTGTCAAGGTGTGTCAATATGCATCAAAGAAGCCATCTGACAGGTAAGGTGGTTTCTTTTTTCTATGTACCTTCGCTCATTGAGGTACAATATAATTGTATAATAGTGTAGTTCTGTGGTTGTGCATTTTTTAATAGTTTTCGTTCATCTTTCATGAAATAAAAAAAAAAACAGCAGAA